ATAAATTGACCAATATGCATGCACACTATAGTTCAAACTTATATACAATCAATGATTCATGTGGTTCACAATAGACACAAATGCTCCTACAGTTCTGCTTCCCACTCACTCAGTCATACACATCCAGAGAACGAGCAGCTCTTCATAGCTACTGTCTCATCTGGTGGCCACTGAGGAGTCTGGAATGAGGCAAGTGAGATTTGCTCAAAGGGCATCAGAGTGCTCAGTACTGAAGGAATCTACTCATTCACCGACATTAACAGCTAATATCACAAACTCAAAGTCCTTCTAATACTCTGATGGCCATGGGGTCGCACTTTCAGATTCAAGTGGGCTCACAAATAATGTAGAGTGTGCACATTACAGTCATTACAATTAAGATGGACGATGTCCAAAAACTACACTACAAAGTGTCTTGGATGCAGGTGCTGACATCTTGCACATTTCACATAATTTGTAGCCAGAGTCTTTGCAGAAGTGATGGTGTTGTCGAGATGCGTATGGAGGTCCCACTGATGCACAAACTCAACCAATGGTGAGTCAGTCTCAGCTGTCAATCAAGATGTTTCCTCCCGTTTTTACAGCATCAAATGATAGGTTAAAACCAACCTCATCAGAAACATGAGTATTTGAACAAACATCAGTGTGATTAAACTATCTGATATAACAGAAACCATCTTTAAGTAGAATGTATCTAACATGTACTTTGACGTTTTTTATTTGGTCCATGTCCCATTCAGTAACATGGAGGAGACCGTTCATGATCTTAACTGCAGCTAGCCACAAGGGGGTGATTATCATTATTATTATTGAATTAGTTGATGAGCGACAGCACATTAGTTATTTCATTGGTTTGTTTTGAAGCTGTAGATCTGACTCTTCTGAATGTTGTGTTCTTGTGTTGTCAGTTCTATCTTAATGTCTGTGATCAGACGCTTTTTCATTAATGTACCAAAACTGTGCATTTTCCCTTGAACCCAACAATTGAGCCACAATGACACGTTACAGAGATGAGACACTCAAACTTTAAACTACTGTTGCTTTACTTTGTTTTCTCTGCAGATAAAAAAGCAGCATGTCGTCCTGACATTTGGCGACTGTGACTGTAAAACATCTTAACCGGGGGTCACCTGCCTGATCACCTCTGGCCTGAACTTTGGAAAAGTCAAAGACGTGCTGCTTGATGATCTCAGTGTGTTCATGGGCTCATGAGGGGAAAATTCCCTCAAAGTAAAGCTTGTAGACATCAAAGCCTTTCTCTGCACAAATTCTCTCTGATGGCATCTTGAAGCACAGGAAACAGGTGTGTGTGTGTGTGTGTGTGTGTGGTTGTTGGCTACACATGGTCAGCACAATTACAGAACATCAAAGGCTACTAACACCTCTGCTGTCGTCCCCGGTCGATCCCTCCAAAGTGAATCATCCTGCAAGGTAAATGGAGACCTGGCCAGGCAGCACACTGCAGAGGAGGAAGAAGAGAAGGGAGGATGAAGAGGAAAAAACATGATGAGTTGAGGAGCCTGTGTACAAAGGAGAAAAGTGGCTGAGGAAAAGATTAGGATTGATGGAGAGATGAAGAGGAGTGGCTCTGACTGGAGGACTGAAAGGAGGCGACCGGAGATATGGGCAAGTGAAACTGCATCATAAAGAAGAGGAATGTATTTGCATATGGAGCGACCGATACCTCGGAGACAGCCCCGGCTCTCACAGCTGGCAGACTGACAGCACTGGGCAGGTGTGAGGCTCAGCTCCGTGGCACATTCAGAAAGTGACACTTAGCGAAGTGTAGGTGTGAGTGTGAGTGTGTGTGTGTGTGTGTGTGTGTGTGTGTAAGTCTGCAGGTGGAGGGTCACCATTCATCTTAAACAGACCTTTGTGCAAGTGCCTACAAAAATAAAGAGACGCAACTTTTCACTTCTCTCTCTTTTCACAGCACATCCATCTGTATCCTTCATTCTAAATCCCAAAGTTTTCTCTTTTTTCTTTCCAAAAGTGAAAATTCATGCAGTTAGATTCCATTAAAACCTGAGGATTATGTTCTGATTTTAGGACTTAGTTTTCAGACCAAATAAGAAGCCCATTTTTGTGTTGTGGTACTTGTGTGAGTTTGATTGCATTTGTGTTACTTGCACGAGTCACTCATACTTGAATCCAGGCGAATATCACAGGTTAAAGTTTGCCAAAGTTGAATTCCATGTGAAGCCACGTTGTTTTGCTTTGTTGCAGTAAGAAAATATTTCATTCTCCATGTCGCTCGCACAGAATGGACGTGAACAGGGGGTGAAGGTTTGCCACTGCTGTGTGTGACCGCTCCCTAACGCGAGTAAACATAACCCGCGGATGTTCTGCGTTTCTCTACCTAGAAGAAGGACAAGAACAGAAACTATTGCTCTCCGCCCTTTTTGTCTGTTGTCAACTATGGCTGAAGTGAAGAACTTATTAGGTCCAACTTCCTCAATTTACTAGATAGCAGGTAGTATCATGCAGCCCGGGTGCCAACATACAGCAACAGTCACTTTTGTCAGGACATCAAGTTCATGTTGGAAATTTGCTTTGGTCTGAACATGTCTGACTTGTCGTGCTGCTGTTTGGTAAAGAGGTGGACTATTCTATCTTTTAACCATGAAATGATCAATCAATATTCCCTCAGCAAATTTTAAACAGACAGCACAAAACCAGCCAGTACAAGCCAAGATATTGTATCACCCTCTTCAATTCAGTATAACATTCTCTGTGTGCCTTTTCTGTTCTGGAGCTTGACGCAAATCACTTTGTACAAAGTTCAATGCAGGGTCATCCAATGTTGAGCCAAAACTACCATTTGTTTCCTTAGATAAAAAGAGTTTTCAGAGAAGTCTCCTCATCCTCTTTTCTGTGAGAAACCTACTGACAAATCAAATTTTTATCACAGAAAGTAAAATAACTGAGAGCAAGAGAAAAACTAAAAAGCTTAGAAAGCATGAATTGGGAGAAAAGTCTAAACGGTAGCTCCAAGGCTTTTGGTTTTCTCAGTAATGAGTTTGAAGTGTTTTATTGTTGCCTTTCTATAGACATGAATATGTTTTATATTTCGAACGTGATTAGCCATGCAACTACGAACATATCATCAAGGTGAGTATAAACCTAGAGAAATACAGTGGTGGGTTTGGTTTGTGTGACAGCTCACTGGACTATATCCTTTTTAATCTTTGCATAGCCTCAAATCCGTTACTGCCTGTCATCGCACCCACAGCCATCTGCCTGTTACTCTTCTTCACCATCTAACGAAACAATGTAGACGAAAAAACTTTGGGTGAATTTGGGAAAGTTTTCCCCTCAAGGAGAAACAAACACTTTGGGGACTGATGGCTGCAACATGTGCTTGACAGTATAAGGAAGGAATGAAAAAATAAATTGCATTATTATCAATTTCTGTCTGATCTTCCTTGACCTCCCCATCCCAGTTCACACGATGGCTCTGATTGATGTGGTGGTAATTGAGTTTTTTCCCCGACCCCTCACTTTTCATCAGAAGAATCACGCCTCAGCTGCAGAAACTCCAGCGTCTCCAGGCTGTGTTTATTCCTGACAGGTGGGCTGATTGCAGCTGCTTTCTTCAGTCGAACATGACGTCTTATTGCCATTACCTAATTCCCCCCTCAGTCATCATCTTCTGACTCACTGAAAAGGGTGAATACCTCTCCCTCCTGTCGATCAGGCTCAGCCACATCCACACCTCCTCTTAGTCTCTCCCTTTTCACATTCTCATATCCCTCTTCATGTGCTCCATCTTTTTTTTTTTTTTTCAACTTCATGCATCATTCTGATGCGGGTGGAGCAGAAATGATGGAAGTTGCACCGTCAAGATTTAAAGGATTTTCACTTAACCCCCAGCGGCATGGTCACATCCAGAGCCAATACCTTAAATCTGACCACAAGAGCAAATGGCTTGTGAATAGTGAATACAAACTGTAGATCCTATTATACTATAATAACACATGCAAATTGAGTCTCTCTGCCGTGGGCGATTTAAAGTCCTGCAGAGACGATACTTGTTATAGAACTATTGAAACTTACATTTATCACTTTGCCATATCTAGAGCCACTACATCTGACCACTAGGACGAGCAGCCTTTACAGATGAATACATATACAGTTGATGTCGAGTGGATCTCAAATAATAAGCAAGGGTTCATTCATGAAGTGACCCTTGACACAAACTTTCAGAAACCATCTTCTCCAAGTTGAGTAAGACTAAGTGTTTTTCAAGCTCTGCGGTCTGCAAGTGCCCGCAGCAACATACACTTTACTGTGTGTTCCCCCTCTTTTTCTCTCGTCACTGAATCTTGATTCACTGAGGCTACTTTTAACTTCTTATATTGTGTATCACAGGTAGAGCTGCTGTTTCAGCCTCGTGTGAACCATCAACTAATACAGAAAAACAGTGGCTGAAAGACTGGAGAGTATCATCAGGTGGCACCACCATCACAGACTACAGAGGTAATACACAACATGAATGTGGTAGTGGGGTATGATCAGTGTCGGCTGCAGGAGGGAGAAGGTGGAGATGTGGTACGGGGATTGGTGCCAGGGTGAGAGTCAATGGGTGCACAGGTGCTCTGTGTTACTTAATGACTCTCTCCCCTTTATCAGCAGTAGCGTGCTGGGACAGCTACGTGTGAGGAGGCAGCCAGACGATGGCTGAACTGCAGTATTGTATGTGTATATCTGTGAGTCTGCAAACAGTAACAAAAGTCAGTACCCCGCAATACTGTGTGTCACTGCAGGGGCCCGAGGTGAACAGAGACGTCTGTTACAATGAATTATTCTTGTTAGTAAAAATTCATGAACATGTCTCTGTGCACAACTTCGCCTCTGTTTTTATCAGAGTGTTCTCCGTGTGTGTGCATGCATCCTTGTGAACTCAGACAAAGGTGCAGTGTTTGTGTTGCATCGGCTCAGAAACACTGAGGTAGAAGAAGAAAAAAAATAGAATCAGGCCTGCACAAATGTTTTGGCAACTATTTATTCAACAAGTTCCATTTTATACATGAGAACGAACCTCTAAATTAAACATCATAAATCCCACAGATAATGGGAGAAAAAACACCTCCGTCATGGTGCTATATATCGAGTCAAGCCCTCTTAGTACAGCTTGATATGAAAACCCTCTTATTTCACCAAAGGTACATCAGAAGCTGAACTAACGTGTCTATAGCTCTAATCCTGAACTTTACTGTGGATATTTTATATTCAGTGAGTGATAGTGCACTACAACTCCTTCCATCTAAAAACCCATGTACATAAAGATGTGTGTCGCTACAAGAAAAAAAGAAGAAACAAGAGGACAACAGCATTGAACTGCTTACATACCATAAGCTAAAATCAGCTAACATCGTGTGGAAACACAACTCCTATCGTTAACGAAACTCGTGATCATTTGCAGCATATTTCTAAATCTCAGTATTTCAAGTCGGCGGTCATATAAAAAAAAAATGCTTCTTGAGTCTTAATTTTCCCAATGACAGATTTACTGAAGAATCACTGAATAATCTTTATTAACATCGTGATGATCTTAAAGTCAAGAAATACACGGTGGTGTCAGCATCACAGGGACGAGCAGAGGGACAACTGCCCACAGAACCCTCTAGCTAAAACAATAAAACTAAATCTCTGAATGAAAAATATTCCTGAGATGCAAAAAAAAGGAAACATATAATCATGTCATCATTGTGACAATATGGAGATTGGGGGCTGATTGATTCTAGTGTCAATATTGCAGTGTGCTAAAGCCGAACTGTACAGCAGAGACATATGACAGGTCAGAGACAGGACGGGAATGAGCCATGTCATGATATCAGCACTGAACAGAACCATTAAAAGCATGAGGTAAAATAAAATGTAGAACTAGTACAGTTAAAGAGAAACAATGGCCAATACATCCGCATGCATCCCTCTACACTCAGGGATTCTGAGTGGAGTTGATATGGGCCTCTAATTTCCTCAAACTGGGAACAAGAGCAGGCGCTGGTGCAAACTCTGGAGCCGATCGCACTTATGTGTGTCCCTGACTGACTCCGATATTTTGGGAGCAGATGTGCTCCTGCAGGATGAATACACATCGCAGCATCAGCAAAGTAGAGTTTGGACAAGCTTCAATTATCACACCAGCTCATCCCGTCGCTCTTAAAACGGCAGACAGGGGGGAGGAGAAGAAAGGTGCAAACCGGAGCTGCAGTCGCAAGGCACAAATAAACAAAGCAGCACATTCTTTAGATAAAAGTAAATCATTATACAAGGTGAGGATATCAGTGCACTATGACACCGACTTGTACTATAACAAAATTAATTTTCATTGTTGTTGTCTGTTGCCTGGAGCATGCACATGATTCCTGCAGCTGTATGGTGACGGCAGCTTTTAATTCGCCAAAATAGAAATATCTATTAATACCACATAACCTATGAATCAATTATCATTACAAACTGCTTTAAAAGATGTGTTATGTGTATTCAAGACTGTGTTTAGAAATGCCGGTGTGCACGGCTCAATCTGCAGAAACCTTATCTGTGTCACTCCCACATTCAGCTGAAGAAAGTGGCTTCATTTGGAAGCAGGAAATTAACCTGAGACGAGTCTAAAGAACAAACTCGTGCCCAATAAAAATGCCAGCGTGACTGAGTCAGTGCTGCCACCGTCTCGCCGCTGGGAAGAAATTAGAGGCCCACGATGTTCTAACAGATACACAGAGGAAATCAATGAGGCAACAAGTTTAAAGCTTAGTTTGAACTCACGTCAGCAAGGAAACATGATGAATAACTGACCCCAAGATGTGACAGAACTACAGTAGATTCTATCATAGTAAAATATATGGATGGTGCGTGCCAGGCGGTTCAAAATAAAAAGATTCAGGTTTGGTCTCATCACTGTCATGAAAACACATATTTACAAAGGGATTTCAGAAAGAAACAAATTTCACTACTAAAGAATACCCATCAAATTAGTCAGGGTGCATAATGTCAGTAAATGGCACCTGTTTCATTTCATCACTGCAGACCTGGTTATTTGTGAGTGTTCATTAAATACAAAACTTCCTGTTCCTCTGACGTCACAATCAACAAGTCCATTCGGCTGCTCTCCTAACTCAGACGTAAAGCAACGGTGAAAAATGTGAATTTAAGACACAAAAGAAAAGAAGACATCGCATCGTTGTGATAGATGTATCTATACAGACGTGATATAAAACTTTACTGAAGTGTCAATAAGCAAAAAATTGAGAAGATGGATCAAATGACTCAGGACTCTTGATTTGCTCCGGTGCCACTCGGGTTCAAACACAAGTGCTTACTCGCTGACCTCATTTGCATAATGTTGTAAATTGGCCACTGAATTGGAGACAGCTGGACCCACGTTTTTTTTTATCGCCCTTGGTAATAATTTGCTCCCTTAAAATTAGCGCCTCGCATTTAGGTCTTTAATTTCAGAGGCCAAAGTGTTTATCACTCGTGGCACAGGAGTGTAAATCAGCCGAATTCCTGCAAAGTGATGAAAGACGCAGAACTGGGACAAGGAAAACAAACGGCTTCCTCAGATATATCATGTTAGGTTTTTTATCTTTGTATGTGTGCAACTTCATCCTTCTTTCAATATGTTTCCATTTCCAATTTGCATTTTAAGTATTTAAGTACAAACAGATGCAGGTTTTCTTCTGTGGACAAAAGTCCACTGCACTGGACACAATTTTTTTCCACATTTCACTGATTTTCTTTTTTTTGGTTAATCATATTTTCTAAAACACCATCCTTTAAAATGTGCAGCACCTGTGAGAGCATGCCACAAACACAAGAAGCCACCGTTCTCCAAAGTTACAAATACACTCACATTGTGGTTCTCGCTTATATATGACGTCAGCTCCAATAAATTAATGATGATAAAGAACCAAACAAAAACATGCTAATGTGTATTACGAAACTTTAGTTCTCACACATTATATACATGCCTTGTGCCAAACAAAAATACATTTCTTTGAAAAGATTTCTAATAAGGATTATGCAATGAAACATGAAAAAAATTAAGAAAACTGATTAAGGTGGCTAATATACAAATTTGAAGGAATACGGAAATCCAGAATCCAGAACAGCAATTTTCACAATCAACCACATTTTTAGCAGACACAATATACAGCAGGGAGCTAAAAACCACTTCAACCAAAAATATTAAAAACATTTTTTTTCAATTAAAAAAAAACATGATTTAGCTTACACTTATAAAAAAGATGCACTGTATGAACTAAAATAAATGATCAGAACTAAATCAAACAGCCTTGTCATCTTTCCATGACCCATTCCATTAGAGTTGTAGTAAAAGTATCACTGTTACTCATTCAGACATTTGTGCTTCTCTGTTTTCTCTTCAGTTTCTAGTTTTGGAAAGGAGGCCCCTGCACATCTATGACCCAACACTCAGCAACACTACTTTTTCTTTCCTTTTTCTTTCTTTTAGCTGAAGACCCCATGAAATGGAAATCAACATCTAAAAATACTGAAATTACAATATCCTTAATAAACACGACAATTTCATTAGGGACTGGAGTCTTTAGCGTGAGAGACATATGCCACTGAGGCAGACAGGCTAAAGGTTAGGGAGTGATGGAGACAGGGGCTTCTAACAGTTGTCCGGCAGTGCGTGTTCATGTATTGGGGGTGCAGCTTAGATGCAGTGTTTCCATTAAATATCTAAACTGGCAGCCCGTCATCTTCTAATTTCTCACGCCACATTTTCATAATGAACCAAAAGGTTTTTTCTAATAATAACATAAGAGATCTGTAACTTTGTGTGTGCAGCGCAATTTGATGCATGCTCACTCGTGCCTCATGCTTGCACTATGGTCCATAACATTTTTACCATCCACGCAGACATCTGCAATGTAGATCTTTCTCTCAAACAAGAATTTATCACTCTTTAGTCTGTGTACCTGTCACTCGGAATCTGTTGCGCGTGAGAATGACCTTCGTGCGTGTGCACGTGTACACCCGTTACCGCCATGGATTGAATTCTGTGGTAAACGTTAGGGCAGATGAGAGGGGGTGGAAAGGATCAGTTGCATTAGCCTGCTCTTGCTAGCTTGTCCATGATTACCAACCCTAGCTTTTATTCAACATCAACACTCCTGCACATCCTGGGATTGTGTTCTTCAGCCTGTATTATCTCTAGATGGTTCACCTCACATTTCATGGGGTCCTTCAGGCTTACAAAATTGTCACATTAACAAAAACAAGTCTTCAAAAGTGAAAAGCTAAACTCACTCCAAAACAATTTGTACAATTTGTACAGCTTTTAGAGAGGAGATTGATACACCTGAACCCTTGATGTGAACAACAAACTACTGTTAAGCTGTCAAGAGGACACTGAAGATGTTTTCGCTAAACTGCAGCCTGGACAGTGCAGGAATATACAGACAAAAGTACATAGCGACAGCAGATTTAGCGAATGTTTTTTTTTTTTATATATATAGTTGATTGAGTTTATTTGATGGAATGCTTCGTCTAGTATCCTTCATATATTTTTGGTGTGTATTCTCTGCTCTAAACAATACCAACAATACCTTTTTATTAACCCTACCCTAAGAATGAAAATCATATTATACACGCATCTGACAAACCTCACTACAGTGTCACACAAAACCTTCTTCTTATCTTACAAGGGTCAACTGTTTAATTACAAAGTCGATTTAGAGGGGATGGGGTCAGGGGGGCGGCGGAGGTGGAGCGTCTAAAAGTACCATATTCAGTGTGATAGACATGTATAAGGCGTAAAAACAGCACAGATCTTCATTCAAATAAAAAGATGCAATGCATAATCAAAAGCTGTGAGTTAAGCAATGAAATGATGGTCTGGTGAACCATCGAAGAAGCATTTACATTGCTACCGACAGACGATACATGAAGGCATTGACAGAAGTTCAATGGCGTCTGTATTTTTAGGCACCGTGTTGATGTGAAACATGATATGTGTCTGTGGACGTGTGTGTGTGTGTGTGTGTGTGTGTGTGTGTGTGTGTGTGAACAAAGGGGATTTTACGTGTGTTTGGATGTCTGCTCGGGAGGGAAGGACGTACGAGGGGACACGTAAGAAGCAGTCATGGCAGATACACAGATTTCCAGGAATTCATGTCAAGAGATGAGGAAAAATGTGACAAAGGGTGAAACTTTGGCAGCGACGGTGGAGCTGCCTGCGAAAACTGGCTGTCAAAAGAAACAGACAGAAATAAAGGACAAGGTGTAAGCGAAAGAAATTGACTCAACAAAAAGGCAATAACACTCAGGGAACTTCTCTATCTGTGGACTGCCTGCAGGTTCCTGGTGGTTGCGACGGGGCAGTGGTCAGAGGTGGAGAAGAAGAAAAGGGGCCAAGACAGAAAGAGAGAAAAAGAGATACAGAGACCGAAAGAGGAAAAGCGGGAGAAAGAGAGAGCCGCATAGCTCCCCCTGCAGTCTAAATGAAGTATTCTTTCTTTTCTTCTGCATGTGCATGGTTGCCCTCAGCGTTGATGATGGCTGTGTCGGCGTCGGGCGCATCGTCCGCTCCTTTGGCTTCGTTTGTCAAGTATGTTCCTGAGGAAACGAAAAAACCAAATCTGTATCAAGGATAACAAATACAGAGCAGCCCTGCGTGGTGTTTGCTGCCTGAGGCGAAAAACACATCTGAAGACAACATCAGTAATGTTCCATTATTCATATAGAGAACGAGGAGGAGCTAAGATAGCGATGAGTGTGTTAATAAAGCAGGTGTGTGTGTATGTGTGTGTGTAACTCAGTATCATGTCCAAATAATGTGATGCAGCTCTCCAGGTAAGAACTCCATTTTGTAGCATTAGGCCTGAAAACTGACAATGGACTTTGAAGCCATGTTTTTTTTTTTATTCATCTCTCTCTCTCTTTGCAGAGATGCTGAATGTTTAAGCCAATTAAGTCATATGTCACAAATTCCATGGTGTCACTGGACATGAGTTGAACTACAATATGTTACAGGGACTTTCTGACCTTATAAATCACCTTTTAATATCACAGTTGATTCATTGAGACAGTATTAAGGCTGCAACTAATAACTCATATAATAATTCAATGACATTATTCACTGAATTATTTTATATTTTGGAAAATTGATAACAATAATAGTGTCTCGAATAAGTTATAAGGATTAAACAGTCAAAGCCATTTTAGACATGAGATCCAGAAAATATGTGGACAGTTGGATTCATACATGATGTATAAAATCCACTCTCTCCTCTCTTTTACCTCTACGTGTATGGCATTTCTGGCTTTTTTAGTTTTGGTTTTTCAGCTTTGAATCTGCTGCATGTTTGAAACATCGACTGGCTCAAGATGAATCCTCTGGACATTTTCCTGCTGTATTCTCACATGTGCTCACTGAGACATTCTCTGGATATTACACCAGAGGGGATGGCAATGGAAAAACTCCAGAGAATGTCCAGAGCAACTAACTTGGACAACTGTGTTCTCACATTCAGCCCCTCTGGATAATAAAAAAAAAATACCAGGAGCTCAGTGCGTGACCGAAAGCAGCTTTATAGACACGTATTTTCACAATGGACATTAAAAATAATGACCTCAGACAGCACAGCACTGGATCAAATAAACATGTATTGAATGTGTTTGTTTATTTGAGTTATGACTCTGGGATGATGGTGGACACATTTTGACCTAAAACACAATAACATGCATTTAGAGTAAGATTAGTAGCCCTCTCTCTCTTGCCAATGGCATTTCTGCATTGTTTAAAAATATGAAAAACCTAAATAACTATGTCCTATATAATGATGTATGCTGCACATAATGGCACTTGGCATCAGAGCTTCTTATATGTGCCTGACTCAAGCCTTCTTCTCCACTGCGGGTATGTCAGACATTTGTCAGTTGGGTGTGGATCTCTGGTTTCTAAGTAGGACGTGCTCCGCTGGTTTCTTGAGCCTCGAGAGACTCAGGTCTGCTCCACTGTGGATTTACCTTTATGCCTGGCCAGGTATCTTCCCAGAACAATGATTAAACACAAGGTGACGAAGACCACAACGGCCACCACTCCTCCGATCAAGGCATGGTCAGTGCCGTGCTGCCCCAGAGCGTTGGGATCTGAGGAGAGACACACAGAGAGAAACAAAGAGAGGATGACGGCATCGGCTGGTGAGGTGAGGGAGTGAGGGCAGAGAGGCAGCGAGAGGCAGGTAATACAAAACAGAGCAAGGAGGAAGCAGAAGATTACTCCCAGCTTGTTCCTGATCTAATGATTGTTTTGAGCTGCTGTCATTCCCCTCTCTCCATTCACATCATGCCGCCGGAGCTGAACTGCCTTGCACACTGAGAATAATAATGGAGAGAGAGAGAGTGAGGCAGAGAGACGGACAACACATTGACACAAAGAGCGGCTACAGGCAGGCGCGCATTCGCCCTGCAAAATGAAAGGTAGAGAGAATAAAAGACGGGAGTTGGAATAAAGAGGTGAATAATTCAGGACCACCCGCGCAGAGTCCCCAACATGCAAACGAGGGCAGCAGTGGAGGAGTAGTACACAGTAAATAAATCATCAAATGGAAAATAAAAATGGAAAGATCAATCTTCTTCTGTTTTCCTGGCGAGAGGGATTGTTGTTAGGGAAATGAATTAGGTGTTAGAGAGTTGGTACTGGTCCCTCGCCGTTGGAAGAGCAGTAGAAATGATTGTAATAGTCATGTGAGAGCATAGACAGCGTTATTAGCTTGTTCACGCCTCATGGCGAAAAAAAAACTCATCAAAGGTTTCCCTTTACTTCATCAAAAGCTTATTATATTTTATTAGTCACTTCCCTTTTTTCCATGAAGTCTGACTTTCAGGCTATTCAAGGTAAGAGTGAGGGTGTGAGACTGACACTGACACTGTGGAAGGATCTAAAAAAAGTTGACAGTGACAGCGATGGGGGAGATGGGTGATGGAATAACTTGTATTATTCATATCAGTCCGTGACACCTGAGAAATTAGCACTCGTCTCATTATCCTCCTCTGAGCACCAGTGTCACTATGTGTTTTTCTGTCTGTGTGGGGCTCACGGTGGTTAACATTTCAGAGTGGGGTAGAGGCAGTGAGAGAAGGCTGGTTTAGACACAGCCCACGTAGTACATCGCCACTTTTCCTCTTCAGTATTCTCCTTTTCATTCCAGAGTCCGCCCATGTGGCCGAGAACAGCTGGCTCGCTCTCGCCCCATAAGTCTCCGTGGTCTGATCGACCAGGCCGCCATGCTTCGCTGCGTCCATGTGGACAAATACACACTCATACTCACGCACTCATACATGCAGACATGCGTGGCGTGGGTCCACTGTGCTGGTCAGTGGAGCGGAGAGTAGAGGAACGTTCCCCCCGGCGCTGCCCAGCACGCCGAGGACTCAGGCGTTTAGATTCACACATGGCTGTGTCTCTTCACCTCTACCTGTCAGGATGTCAACATACACACCCACTGTCTGTCTGTGCTTTAGTTTAGTTGTTACAACCCAGTGCTGGCACAAACAACTCCTCACTCTTCTACCGGATGCTACACATTGCACATGCAATATGCTGGTGTCATGTCCAAGTGGTTGGGCTGTAAGCCAACTCCCCCAACACCTCTATGACATGTTCGATTCAGAGCTACTGCATCACTTTTGACCTTGAAGGAAAACGACACTGAAAATCAGTCTTCTGAGAACAATAGAAAGCTCGCTCTAAAAGAAATGCAGCTTTTCCCTTCATGGAACATAGCCACTCAGTTGGTATGACTCACAACAGGGACCTCAAAGCTAGGGTTGGTAATCCTGGAGAAGAAAGCAAAGGCTACAATATGAAAAACTGCAACCAATGGAACCCACACCCTCCCATCAGCCCTCTCGTCAAGCTACTCCCACAAAACACATGAACGCTCACTTCATGACAACTGCTAGAAGTTGGCTTTTCCTTGACTAACTTTTTAGTTAACGTCTCTGCTTCAGCAGCATCGGTCTATCCGGCTGAAGACTCCGGTCATGGGCATGGGGTGCACAGGCAGGCAGGTTAATGACAGACAGGCACGCCAACCAATCATTTCATTTGGTCTGAATGGATGGGCGAGGGTAACAGACACCGGTCTGTTTTCTTTTTTTCAGACAACTTTATCTATTGATGGCTATCAGGACGTGAAGAAGATTTAATGTCATTAAAATAACATCTTATGATATATGCTACTACTTTGTAATATCCCCACAGCTCCAGCAGAATTAGTTTATATATAAAGTTATTTACTATCAAAGTGGAAATTGTTAACCCCATACTGAGCTTAAAGATCAATGGCTGGGAAGCTGATTATGCTGCAGTGGTGGTTTTAAAAACGTTCTGTGGTGTATTTGAATGTTTTGTTTTGTTTTTCTCTTGCCATGACTCTGCATTGCTAATTCATCGGTACTGTGACTCCAGGCAGAGTTCAGCATCCATCCATCACACACCAGTAAAACCAATTAGTGGTATAAGTAGAAATAATTTGATCCTGATACCATTAAAAGCCTGGATGATGGAAATGGACTTGTTTGGCACTTGTTTGATCACTGTAAGAAATTTGTTGTAATGAACTAATTCCTAAAACTAACACGCTGTTTTTATTATGACACCACCTCCATGTTGGAGTTATTGGGGCTGACATGGAATGGTATAATTGTGGCCTGACTGCTTCTATTTCTTCGGAGGCTCTGAACTGTAGAAACAAAAAAAACGTTTAATCTACACGTGGATGACATGGCCGACTCTAAAGCTGATAAGTTGCTAAATTTTCTGAGCTCCATTGATTTTATCTAACACGTTAAGAGGGCGCCTCACAACAGTGGCCACACATTGGATCTAATTATTACTCATGGTCTGAGGATTGATCCTCTGTAATTAAGCTGCTGCGTTTTCCCCCTGCATTGTTATCATTATGTAGCTTTGTTACTGAGCGGGTTGTCAGGAAACATTATCTGAAGTTGCTGGAACATTTGATAAATCGTATTATTAACATGACCCCGCAGATCCTTCCTCCCTCCTGTGATGATCTAGTTAACAATTTTATTAATAAGATGATGACTTACCATTAGCACTCTGGCACCAGCAAAACTTAATGAGATTAAAAAGAATGGAAACCGTCATGGAGAACAAGGGATATCATTAACCTAAAGAAAAACACATCACTAACTTTAACAGAGCAATTTGAAATTCAAGACAAGCTCATTTCTAAAAATCATAATAATCCCAAAACACTATTGTCAACTATTAACTACCTCTTAAATTCAGCTTCAACTAGAGTGGCCCTGAGTTGAGCATATACCTCCGTCAAGGCTCAACTCTTTCCTTATGAAACCAAATGTAAATTCATTAGATCCAATTTTTTATTTTTGAATCTGCACCAAATTTCACACACTCATTAGTATCAGTTCCCTAAAAATGCTTGATTTTTTAAATCAAGATCCATGAATTATTCTCTAGGAAATTGAGGAAAATATAAACAGGTCCTTAACCTGCAATGTTAAAGCCCCCTGATCCAGCACAATTTGATGAGTTTGTCCTTGGGCTATGACTCGACTTTTGCATAATCCAGCTGACAAACAAACAAATGCAGACGTACCCTAATATCCCTGCTTGCATTGCCTCAGTATTAAAATGTTAAGAGTTCCAAACATCTTTCCGAAGCAAGATTAAAAAAATAAAATTTTTGGACCTAAACCAGGTTGTACTGAAAATGCATTACGCATTGTTTTCTGACACTTCAAGTGTAAGGTCAAGTTTTATTTATTTTTCAAGTTAACACAGGGTGAACGGTACAATGAAAAATCTTGGACTACGAAGACAGGTCTGCTCAGCAAGAAGAGAAAAAGAGAGGAGTAAGTAAGTTAACTTAAATAAATCAAAAAAGCTCCTGTTTAATGTTCTGTGTCATATATATATATATGTGTGTTTATTTATTATAAATATCACATATTTTTCAAGCTAAAATGGGGTTATTAATAAATACATTTTCATTTTACTTGGTTTGTGAAACAACAGAAGCCAGTGACCTATCGTCATTACATAACATACACAGTGTAAATACACTTAGCTTGAGTGCCTTGGCCTTCGAGTGCTTAACATGGCTTATGTATTGTGTTCTTGTGTATTCTCTTCTAATCCACTGCTACACCACAGCGAGGGTGCACAGAGACACAGAGGGAAAGCAAACGAAAAAATAGAGATTGATATAAAGGAAAAGGTTGAAATTTCAGCTGGAGCAAGACAAGGAGGAGAGGGATATATTTTTATGGCTCCAGAACACATTATCTTTTAATAAGGGCACATACATTCTTCTCTGTGTGATTTAATATGTGAGCGTGGCAGAGCAAACTCCTCTTTTAATATTTATAACGCTCTCCTTGTCGTCTGGCCTTGCGATTGGGGCTTGTTTAATAAATTAAAGGGGTTCAGGGCTTCTGTGAGCCACTGCTTGGCCAGACTGAGACTGAGTGTTACTGTTTAACTGCCCAACTAACTCCTCATCTGATCTGTTTCACTGATGCTAGCTCCATATGGGCTTACTGTGAAAGGAGATGTGATGGTAATACCGTGGGGGGGTTTCAAGACTGTGTGAAGACTCGAAATGGAAGAATATAGAATATAAAATATAGTCAAAAAATAAAGCCATAATGTGTTTCCCAATTCAGGGGCCAGCTCTTTCCGAAGCTGCATTTGAAGAAGGATTGCATCACAGTGGAACAACTATGTTGTCCCATTTCAAAAGCCCTTCCAATTGTGGCTGACAGATGTGTCCTCCAACGGGTTGATATTTTTTAGGCCAACCTATCCCAGGACACATTGCGCTTTGGTAACAAACTGCTTTTTAAAAAGAGATAATGGCAGCGGCAAGCAACAAGATGTCTGATGCTGACACTTTTAAATTTAAGTATCAAGGTTTATGTTTTGGAAACAAGGATCATTAAAACTTTCTAGCTGTGTAGCTAGGCAACAGCAGTAAAGTCGGGTGCAGCGGCCTACATGGCCCACGAAGAAGGTGGTCTTTGAGGGCAGCGCAGACCATGACAGCTGAACCAAAATTAGATGGTCCTATGAAGGAGTCAGCCCCTGCATTAGGACA